TCTGAATATTTGCAGTCTCTACTTTTATGAAGGTGAAACCTGACATAAGGCACCTTCTTCAAGACGGCTGACAAGGGTCTGTGCTCAGATCTCGCAAGCAAACAAGTTGTTCGTGAAGATCCTTCTTCCCTACCAGCTTAATGTCGTTTCTTGTGGATGCAGATTTTGCCTTGTTTACTATATATATATTGTATTGGTAAAATGTGTCCTGAAATACCCACTCATCTAAGGATCAAAACTGAACTCATAAAAAAGAGGAATTACAACTAAGGAAAACCTCAACGTATTTTCCACTAGTGCTATGAAAATCGATGGTGTTGTTTTTATCATAAATATTATAATTTTTATAATGTTTTTTAACATTAGCAACAGCAAAATAAGATTACGTAAAATATTTTGTAAATCAAAGAAACGGGTAAACGGGCGAGACGGGCCGTGCTCGTAGTTGGTTCATTGGTGATTTAGTACAAGTGTTGCCATCTATGCGTAAAAACAATCAAACGAGTACTCACGGTGGGCATAGCACGTACGTACACGTCATACCCGGCACCAAGGGGATATATATAATTATATATATATATATAATTATATGTATATATAATTATATATATACATATATATATAATTATATATATATATAATTGTATATATATGTATAATTGTATATATATGTATAATTATATATATATAATTATATATATATAATTATATATATATATAATTATGTATATATATATAATTATATATATATAATTATATATATAATTATATATATATAATTATATATATACAATTATATATATAATATATATATAATATATATATATATAATATATATATATATATGTATATATATATATATATATATATATATATATGTACGCATGAGAGTGTGTGTGTGTATTTTGAATGCACACACACACACAAACAAACAGCACACATATACTCATTTGTGTCTTTGTGTGTTTCTGTGTGTGTGTGTATGAGATTCAAGGAACAGCTGCTCGCTGACCTGACCAACAGGATGCAGGTGGGCGGCCCCCTGGGCAGGGGCAAGGGGAATATGACCCGCAGCTGCCGAGAGAGGTCAGCTGCCGGCGACCACGCCCCTAGGCAGGCAAAGGGAGGAATGACCCAGTGTCTCAAGGAACAGGCAGAACGAGTCTAGGCCTCATACGAACAACACCTTCCCGTCTGGCCTTCCGTAGGAACCCGACGACGCCCTATCTGCCACGTCCACGTTACCAACCTATATCTCCATTACTACTGTCTGCTTAGCAATAAAGTGTGTTAACAGATACTGAGTTTTCCTCTGGACCTCCAGATAATATAGTGGATCTCTATATAATTGAATGAGAGACCATTATAGCTGGTGTTCAGGGTGGTAGAACTCATGTTCCTGCCTCCGCTCAAGATCGTCGTCGGCAATTTCTACAGGACCGAGTGAGTACACAAGGGCTATTTTCCTTTCTTCTGTTCCCCCCATTTGTGTATATTACGAGCCAGTCATTATTATATGTACAAGTGGTTAGGTCCGTAGGGAAACGGGAAGTCGTGTTGTGTGTGTATACGGGAAATTACTGCGAGTATTTTTTCTTCTCTTTTCATCTGATAACGTAGTCGCGATATTTAATACAAGTGATTTTGGCGTACCGTTGTTAGATTCCTTCTATTTTTCAATTTCTCTGATGAGCTCCCCTCCATCTGATAATACTCGTGCTAAGAAGTCGCTTGGCGTGAAAGCTCTGCAGACTTCGCTTGGTTTCTCCCCTAAGGCCTCGGACTCTTCTCATACTTCTTCTCCTTCACCATCTACTTCTGATTTAGTTTCCCCTCTTTCTCTTGCCACTGAAACCGGAAACATTTCCTCTCCATCTCTACCCCCCGTCTCTGGCCTCACCCTTGTTACGGCTGCATCAAACATGGGTCCCGGCATCGCTCCCACGATGTACAATGTTGCATCAAAATTTTCAGGCTCGAACGTCTCTGTCGACCAATTCTTCGCGGATGTGGAAGACACAGTAATCCATTCAGGGGTTCAGCGGGAGTCTGAACATTTTGCGGCATCGTGCCTCGTGGCGGCGAGAATGCGCCTTAACCACGAAATTCCCAGAGTGGCTGAAGCGTTAGATTCTTTTAACCATTTGCCGAATGATCAAAAGTCGTATGAAATGTTAAAGAGTATTTTCACTTCAACATTTTCGAGGCAGACGGAAAATCACCATTTAAGACTGGTAGAGTTGTTGGAGGTCAAGCCTACTTCATTTTCAAAAGATGATCTTTCGTCTTATTTGAATAAGTTTCGCGTGAAGCTGATGCAATGGGCTCAGTCAATCCCGGGATCAGACGCGTCGGTGTGCCTCAAGCAATGCGTTACGCAGAGCGCATCGCACGCGTCAGTTCTGGAACATTTTGCAAAAGCGTGGTTAGTCTCTTCTATTTCTCCAGCTGTGCGCAAACGAGTTTGGGATAAAGTTGACAGTGCTTCATTCGATAAGCTTCCTGAGGTCCTCGCAAATGAGATGTCGGATAAAGGTGGAAATGTGCAAGTGGTTGCAAATGTTGTTCGGACAGGGAAAAGTAAAGGAAACAATTATAATTACAATTCGGGGCGGACTGAACCACCGCGGCGAGAACCGCCAGTGCGGACGAAGGCAGGAAACAGACGTGCCTCGCCCGCACCTGCGTACCGCTGCGCCGAGCAGTCCCCCACTCCCTCACCCTCGCGTGCGGATTCCGAGCCTCCCTCGGGCGCGCAATACTTTGTAGTATCTTCTCCTTCGGCAGCTCCTCGCAAAGTCCCACGACCACACGTGGCTAACTGGGCACCGAAGCCTGGGCAATGTCGTAGATGCTTGAGGATGCATCGCCGACCTGGGTGCTTTGCTAAACAGTTCTGTCCATACTGTAACAAGCAGGGTCACGCATTTAATGAGTGCACGTGGTTCCCGGATCAGGTGGCGATCACCCTTAAATTTATCGCGAAGATGAACAAGGAAGGAACTTACAATAAGAGAGTAGTTAATTTTTTAGAGGAGGATATAACAGGTTTCGAACCGGGAGAGGAAGTGCATTGGTCTCCGGTGTAGTTGCATCGTCTTCTCGGTTTCGTGTTGCTAGTGCTGGTATACCGAACACAGGAACGGGACCCCCTCTCCTACCTGGTAAGCTTAAAGGGAAGGACGCATACTTTTTTATTGATACGGGAAGTTGCGTCAGTCTCGTGAGTGAACGGGTATTAGAGGATTTTCAGCTCTCGTCTCCGGTATCGCCGGCCGATGTTTGTGTTACTGGTGTAACAGGATCGCAGCTAGGTGTTGTTGGAACTACGTATGTAACTTTGAGGTTTGGAAACATCCAGTTTCCTCATAAATTCGCTGTAGTGAAGGGATACCATAGTTTCCCCGGCCACATGCTTCTTGGCCATGATTTTCTATATCGTTCTGGTATGGTCCTGCGACCGCAGCAGAATGAGGTAGAATTTCAAGGTCATGTTTATAAGCTAAGTGAGCCGAGTTCCGTTTGGAAACACCCGGACCCTTTTCACCCTAGCATGCTTGTTTCAGCTTCTAACGCAAACAGCAACGCGTCTCGTAGGATATCGAACATGACCACACGCCCGGACACATCATTCTCCTCCCCTCCTTCCCCTCCTCTGACCTCTCCACCTTCCTCCCCTGTCTCTGACCTCTCCACCTTCCTCCCCTGTCTCTTCCTCGCGTCTACCTCGTCCCCCCTCTGTCTCTCCCCCACCTCCCTCACATTCCTTGACTTCTACGATTCCTTATAGGTCTCGTTCTGTTCGTCATGGAACTGCTTCATCTCAGCATGCTACAGATACTTCACGCACACATCTTGCTGCCACATCTCACACATCATCCCGCTCATCAAAACACCACATGTGGGTTGACAACGATGGTTTGGCATACTTAGTGGCGCGGGAGTCTGTAGTAATTCCGCCTTTCCATGATGTTCTGATTAACGTGACGGCCTCGACAGGTAAATATGGCACATGCTTGGTCCTCCCGGAGAATTGTAGAGTAAAGGGGACATGTGTTCTTCCCTCTCTGTATACCTTGCGGGATGGGAGTGCACAGGTCCATGTAATGAACTTAACACCTGCCCCCTTGTCTATTGATAGTGGTGTTAGATTAATAGACTGTGAGGTTACAAATCTCCTGATAGCTGAATTTGAAATGCCAGCGTCAGCCTTCACTGGCGCTGTTTCTTCTGCGTCCCCCGATTCAGCTGACCCGTTCTCTGTGGCATTAGCAAAGGCTATGCAGGGTCCATTCGCATTTAGCGAGGGTAAGGAGATTCTAGGCAAGTTGTTAAATCAATTCCCCGACATTTTACCGACCAAGGACCGTCCGTTAGGCAGAACACATATGGTAGAACACTCTATTACTCTAGAACCTGGGGCTAAGCCTGTGTATATTCCGGCATACAAAATCCCGCACAGCAGGCGTCAGATTCTAGAGGAAGAAGTGCGCGGTATGCTGCAGCAAGGGCTAATTCAACCTTCGACTAGCCCATGGTCAGCGCCGATGCTGCTGGTGCCGAAACGTCAGCATGGTTTTCGTCCCGTCTGTGATTTTCGGCGTCTGAACAAGGTGACTGTTCCGTCACCTTTTCCTATCCCTAACCTTCGCCAGCTCTTGCAAGACATTGGTGGAGAGAGTAAGGTTTTCTCCTCGATTGATCTGGCGAAAGGGTTTCTTCAGGTCCCCCTGGCAGAAGACAGCCGACCATACACTGCATTTTCAACGCATGTGGGTCACTTTGAGTTCCTTGTGTCACCTATGGGTCTCAGGAACTCTCCTCTGACGTTTAGTCATCTTATGGCTCTCGTCCTGCAGGGTTTAATTAATGATCAGGTGCTAGTCTATTAAGACGACATTTTGGTTTGTTCACCTTCGATCACGGACCATGAAGCGCGGTTGCGCAGTGTTTTTCAGCGACTTTCGGAAGCGGGTTTAACAATTAATCCGGCCAAGTGCATGTTCTTCCAGTCGCGTTTAGATTTCCTTGGTCACTCGGTTAGTGCTGCAGGTATTGCCCCTAACGAGGCCAAGGTCAAAGCTGTCAGTATGTTCCCCATTCCTTCAGATGTAACACAGGTAAAGTCGTTCCTGGGGTTAGCAGGTTTTTATAGACCGTTTGTCAAGGATTATGGGAGGATCGCTGCACCGCTGACACATCTCCTCAAGAAAGATGTCCCCTGGTGCTGGGGCGAGGAGCAGGTCAGCGCATTTTCAAGGTTAAAACATTGTTTATCGCACGCTCCCGTTCTTGCATTTCCAAGGTTTGACCTCCCCTTCATTCTTCATACAGACGCATCGAATGTTGGGCTAGGGGCTGTTTTAATGCAGGAACACAAAGGGAATCTGCGTCCCATCGGGTTTGCTAGTAGGGTTCTTACCAGTGCAGAGAAGAATTACTCAGTCACCGATAGGGAAATGTTAGCGATTGTTTGGGCTCTTAAGTACTTCAGGGATATTATACTGGTGTACAAGGTCATGGTGCACACGGACCACATGCCGCTCACGTCGCTTAATGGCAATGATCCTTATGGTCGTAGGGCACGTTACCAGGATATCCTGGGCGAATTCGATGTGACTTTTGTGTATATTCAGGGCCGCGCAAATGTCGCCGCCGACACGTTGTCACGCGCGCCAATCGAATTTTTGCAATCTTTGAAGCGGGACGACACTGCTGCTTTCCCCCCATCATTTAGCTTGCCTTCGTCAGCGGTTGTGAATAGTGCTCCACAGGTTCCTCCCTTGGAGCCGCTAAATAAGGACGAGGTATTTGCTGCTCAGCGTGCCGACGAGGTTTACGGCCAGGTCATTGATGCTTTATCTAAAGGCACGGCAGTGCCGAGGTTTAAAGGGTTGCCAGTTGACGAATTTTTTCTTGACGATACGGGACTCTTATTTCGGAGATCCCGGCCGAAGCGAATTATGGGTCACAGGCGGATTGTCCGACAAGTCTTGGTGGTGCCGGAATGTTTAGTGCCGCGTGTGTTGACGTATGCTCATGAGTCCAGTGAGGCAGCGCATTGTGGTGTTCACAAGGCAGTGCAGATGACTCAAAACTGATTCTATTTTCCGCGGTTATTGGACAGGGTCACGGAACACGTCAGGTCTTGCAAGACGTGTCCGCTGTACAAGGGTCACACAAGCGATCCCACGCCTGCACTAAAATTCGATATTCCAGATTTTCCTTGGCAAAAGGTGTCATGTGACACTTTGTCGGGATTCACCACATCACGGTCTGGCAACAAGCACATCCTTGTGTTCGTGGACAATTTTTCTCGCTACTGTGAGTTGGTGGCGGTTCCATCAAAAGCTGCTGTGCACGTCACGAAAGCATTTCATGACGTAATTTGTTGCCGCCACGGCTGTCCACACTATTTAAGCTCGGATAACGGTACCGAGTTTGTCAATCAGGTGTTAGCCAGTCTGACACAGCAGCTTAATGTGACGCAGGTGAATGTTTTGCCGTTCCGTCCGCAGGCTAATGGCATCACGGAACGTTTAAATAGATCTATTCTCACCATTTTGCGTCAGTTGGTGGACGACAGCAAAGACGATTGGGACGTTCTTCTCCCCACCGTCCAGTCGGCCATCAACTCTACCTATCACTCTTCCCTGGGCGATAGCCCACATTTTCTTCTCACGGGGCAAGACAAGCGGTTGCCATACGAACTCCTGGAAATGAGACCGCGCCCCCTATATGCAGATAACTATGCTGAATATTTGGTTTCCCGGCAACAGCGAGCGTTTCAGCAAGCAAAGGCACTCCTGACCAGGTCACGAGATAGAATCATTGAGTACCAGCATAAGATCGCTCGTGCAAAGACTATCGGTGTTGGTTCCTTGGTTTTTAGGAAAGCTAGTTTTCATGGTACTATTCGGCCGAAGCTTAGTCCGTTATTTGTGGGTCCCTACAGAGTTGTAGCAGTAAAGAACAACAAGGCAGAGTGCAAATCTGTCGCTGATGGCTCTGTGCAGTGGTTCCACTTTGACGTCCTAAAGCTGGCTGATCAGTATTATCAGTGCCAGGATTCATAGGTGGTCCTCTTGCCTTCATTCTTGCTATGACATATCATCCCATTATCCATTCTACTTGCATTAGTTCTCGAGAGTTATTCATGCTTATGTGTTACTCCCGTAGAGTTAGGCCAACTATTTGGTTACATTGGAGATGTACTGTCATTTACCTTGATAGTTCGGTACCTCATCAGCTGCAGTTGCATACGTTACCTGCACCTTCTCATGATCATTATCACCCATTCATATTGGTTCCTTTTCAATGCTGACTTTTGTGATATATTTTTCCATGCTGAGTTTGCGAGTGGTAAGTGATATCTGGCTCTCCCTTCCAGGATGCTGTCGTCCATATTCCTTGTGGCACTCCTCGTGGGAGGAGACTCGCACCGTCTGCCGCATAACGTGATGGACGCACCTGGGGCTATGATTGAGGACCTGGGGAAGG